GAAAGAAATTGTCAACAACGAAAAGTCCGCTTTACTTGCAATAATAGGGGCAGAGATGCAAATCATGATAGCGTTAACAAGATTGTCATAAATGCAAGTGCTCCCAGGCCACATGGACCAAAAGCAAAGGGTGACATGGGCAGAAGAGAAACGATTCAGCTGGGGACGCTTGCAATTTATCTGACGTTTGGCGATTTTACTGTGCGCAGGAAGCAGAAAACATTGAGGAGGATCGGCTACAGCGACAAAAGGCGGGGGAAAACGCTGCCCGGCAAAAAGAAAGAGAACTGCAGAAAGAACAGAAGGCAGAAGCGAAAAAACTGATGGAGCAAAAAAGGTTGGAACGTATGAAAAGTGGCAAGGCCTCAAAGCCTGGCAACTCGACCAAGAAGCGGGCACGATCACCTGCGGTTCCAAAGGCGCACAATAGCCCCTCCCCAAAGTGCGTCAACTCCTCATCATTCCCCATCAACGTTTCCGCGTCCGCGTTACTCGGTCTTTCTGGTGCCAGTCAAATTACCAAATAGACCTTTTTCTAAAAATCTGTGTATTGCCGCACCAATAAAAGGAAATTCGGGGTGTCTCTGACCCAGTACGGCTAGAGATTCTGTATCTCCTCTCAGTTGATTAGCAAACGCAGAGCATCCATCACCACCAGTCTGACCTCATTTGGGCAAGGGGAAGTAGTTTTGAAGTTAGATGGGTGATGATGGAAGGAAGTGGCTGCAAAAAAGCGTAAATCTCATTATCTTATAGTGCCTGGTTCGATATAGTGCCGTTTTCGGCCCACTGGCACAGGGTAGCACTATATCGCGACCGCCCCCCCCCCCCCCCCCCCCCCTACCGAAAACTGGGGGCATGTGAGTTTTCCACGAGTTTCACATTCGCCTGATCACAGCAGTACCGGATCGACCTATCGTGAAGGAAAACGAAGTGGGTTTTCCGGTGCTGCTTTTCATCAGCACAAACGAGTCTCAGACTGCACGGGTCGTATCGATATGCGTCATGGACGCCCTTATCGCTTCATCTGCGCAGAGTCCATCAACGGATCAAAGCACGACAGGATCTGCCACAGATGCCGCCGAAGCAACCGCGAAAGATAGACAAGTAGAAGCTTCTAAAAAGCGGCCCTCTCCAAACGGCCCCCCTCAGCCTGTCAAGAAGACGAAACACATCGCCCTTTCGACTGAAAACCTTTCTATCTTTGTGGCGAGCTACAATATTCGCTTCAGCGAGTATTCACGCAGGTGCACGTGATCCGTCAGGCGGCACAACGATGTACCAAACTTGCGTTTATTGCGGGCAGGTACAGTACCTTGCTGATGGTCAGTCCGCAAAACCCGTGGCAGAATTTTTCAATCTCGGGTTTACTGTACGTCCAGCGAGTTTGTGGGCAAATGGAAAAAAACGTGTTATTTTACGGACGACCTTAGGGTTAGACATGTTCTGCATGCACAGTATTGTTCCGGAGACACAACACCTGCGCCAGCATGAAGATAGGCATACTGCAATGGCTGTATTGTAGTCCAGAAAGACAATCGTTTCTTTGTCCCCACTTCCTGAATATCTGCGCTTGCAACTATCTGAAGTAGTGTGGAGGTTTGGCGCACATCTGAGTTCGTATGCTTTGGGGTTTTTCTTCACTAGCTAGCGACCCCTGTGTATAGCGATAATATTTACTGATGTTTCGCCATTGCCAAAGAAGCTTCCTTTTCTTCTCACAATTCTCAATTAACCTTTCAGAATATAAGGAGTGAACTACAGGCTTTCGTTCCATGCAAAGACTGACTGTTGGTTCTCAATGCAAACATTGAATGCCTTACTCTAGGGGTATAAATCGCCGATTACGGATGGTTTGCATTCTTTCGCGAAGCCGCTGAAGGATTCTGCACTGCCTTAATGAAAAAATATATCTTCTGAAAATGGAAAGGAACATTCACATGCCCAAGGCACTAGTGCATTCATAGCCTGGAGAAGGCAGAGATGCTTTCAACAAGGTACATATATAGTCTCTTATACTCCATTAAGAGGGCTTTTCGATTTCGACTATTAGGGCGTCTCGAATGCTTGAAGATATCTATGCATAGGCTGAAATATGGAAATGCAGAACGATTTATCTTCCCGGAAAGGGAGCCTCGAGTAAACCTTAAGCGCAGAATTGATTTAATAGTGCGAGAAGCTCGATATCAATCATGTTCACTAGTTGACGCGTGATCTTGTTAAAAGATCAAAAACTATATGTAAACAGGGTTTTGGAACATTGTCACTCCGTGCTTGTTCATTTCCCTTCCGTACAGGCCAATATACTCATTTTGAACAAATTGCAGAAAACCATGACGGTTTCACTCCGTGAATATGCCTTCCAGAAGCTTTGTCTTCAATCCACACATGCACAAATCAACGTCCAAACTTTTCTTGGTCGATACAATAAAAAATCGTTGCTTGTGTCCTTAGTGGAAAGCTGTGTCAGACATCAGGAAACGCAGATATTTGACCGCTCCCTCGCATTGGGGTTTGGAAATGGGACACCCCCAAGTCCATACCACTATTTTGTGAAGTGCGTCTGCACTCTTCACCCCTTGTTCAAGAACCATGTACCATGATTGTTTCTTTTGTCTGTTGCCATGTTTTGTTCTAGGCAGTGTCACCCGGCAGGTGACACTGTCTAATAAATCACAGTAACATACTGCAATGGAGCGTCAAGATGCCGGATACTTTATTCTCTGAAGACGGCTGGGTTACCGTTTCAGTTCATTCGAAAATACGCCTCGATAGCAAAACAATAGCAGCAGCCATAAACTACGGATTGTCACAGATTTAACGACCGTGTTGACTATGAAATGTCCCCTCTTGATTCAACTGAACAAGAAATGTACACTCTTTATTTGTCTTAAGAGATGCTGGGCCGCAACCTGGAGAATGAATGAAAGAGGAGCAACGCGACAGGCGTCCCAACTAGGTATCCAAAGGTGCCTGCAAGAATGGCCCCTGCGATGAGCCCACGCCAACCGTAAGCAGCTGCAAATGCTGCAGCTGTGGTAGCACCACCAACGTTCGCGTTTGAGGCCAGCAGCAATATGTTAAGCGGAAGACGGAAGAAGCCTCTTCCAACCAAGAGCATTATAAGAGCATGAACAGCAAGCACCACAGCAGCAATACAGGCAACCATTGGGGACGCTCCAGCTACGGCGGAGAGTCGGGCCGTGGTACCTAGAGCGATAAAGAAAGCTGTCACTATAACATCTCCAATGCGGGCGGAGAGACCCAAGAGCGGCTGCAGACGTCTTGATCGCGATAACAAGAGCGAGATACCTGACATAATCATGAGATTTGACCCAGCAGGGAGCATGAGGCTGTTCGTTGCTATACATGAGAATACTGCGACGCAAGCAGTGATAAGTACTGGGACGAGAACAAGCTGAGCATGCTCCCTAAATTGATGCGTTTGGCGAGAAGTGACATTCTTTTCCTTTGATAGTGGCAAGTCATGCTGTTCAGACCGTACTCTTGACGCGAGAGAAAAAAGCCCTGTAAAGTATAGCGACATCGCCCCCATATCGGCTGCAAGCCCAGCCGCTGCCAGATCTTTTGGTATGTTCAGTGCTTGTACCACACCGACATAGTTCACCGACCCTCCAATATATGTTGCGGCGAATGCAGACGCCATCTGCCAGGCTGCTTCTGGTTGAAGCGGGAGCAGAAGTCCGGCTAATATGGCACCCATAGTTGTGCCTGCAGCACCGATGACGAAGGCAATCATGAGCTGGCGCACCTCCGGAGCAGACCTTTGATTTAGAGAAGTCGAGGATGGTTGCAAAAGAAGCAGACAAACGGCTATAGGAGCCAGCTCAAGCAGTTTCGTGAAGACGACGGCATCCGTAGGGAAAAGAGAGAGGTTTGCAAGCAATGCTGCTCCGAAAAACGCAGCTGGTGGACCTCTTGCAGCTTGAGGAATGGCCGAAAGGCTGCATGCCCATGTCAATACTACTACAGTCGGTGCGGGAGGAAGCATGACAGCTTTTGCGATCCGGGAATGCTGCGAGACTTTTCGACGCTGACGCCTGCAATCAAGCAGTGAGACGGCCCATTTCGCGTCATTGCTATGACGTATTGACGGGATCCATGTACAAAACGCCATTTTAACCTTGTTTCGTCGCGAGATTGTACGCATGAACTTGCCTGTTTTCAGGGCAATCGATCAGCTCATCAATTAACGGTACGCTAAGAGTGCTAGAGCTCCGAATTCTTCACGGTTGTGTGCTCGCAAAACACAACTCAATCTCAAAATTCGAATAAATAAGGCACATATACATCGATTTCGGCTATCGAATATAACCATCTGTCAGGACCGACAACACTCTTCGTTTGTTGAGTTCCAGTCGATTTGATGAAGTTCAAGTTGTTTGCCGGTGGCTGCAACTACGGTAGCGATATGGTCGGGATCTGCTTGAAGATGATACACGGACCATTTCCCTGCAGCCTTTCGGTCCCCGCCAACAGATGCAATCCGATAGATTTCTTCGTCTTCTTCCACCTCGAAAGTAGTAAGTCCCCTTGATATCCCCTCCCCAGTACATTTGACGAAGGCCTCTTTGCAAGTCCAAAGCTTCACAAAATTGTGCATCAGGAGGGTTTGACTTATTTTCCCAGCGTCGTCTCTAGACTTCTCAATCAATGCCTTTCTCTCTTGTTCCGTGCAGCATCTTCTCATCAGAGAAGAAACGTTACGCACTCTTCTTGAACTGAGCTCAACATCTATTCCAACAGCAACAGTGCTGGACACTGCGATCAGCGCAGTGTCAACCGTATGAGCCACGTTGAAAAATAAGCGTTCGTTGGGGTTAGCGAGGACTGGTTTTCCATTTGCTGTTTTGCTAAAGACTATTCGCGAAGGAGCTGTGTCGCGAAGATATCTTGCAAGAATATCGCGTAAACATGTCCGGCATGCCATGTAGCTCGTCTGCGACTTCGTCCAGCGAATGACAAGTAGAGATAGGAAGTACACATGCAGTCAGCATTTTTGTTTTAAGAGCAACACTTAGTTCACGTGACAGACTGGATCTACTATTGCACATACATTCCCATTTCTGTACCTGCTGGCGCGCTGCTTCTCTTCATCAGAGAGGTATAGTTGTTGCATCCGAATGAAAGCGGGGTCGGACAACCTCGCTCGCCAAACATGAACATGCCCTGTACTCAACTTGATTGGTCCCGGCCATGGCGAAACCCATGCAGTGACACTCGCACCCCTCATGGGAGAAAGAAAGTTGGGTAAACTTGTGCAGTGGGCCTGATCCGTCTTCGCTCCTTCTCGGCGCTACAACTGCTTGAGGCTGGGTTGATATGTTCAAACTTATCACGGAGACCTGTTCTGACTCACGGTGCACCGCTTAATGCCAACGAAACCACACAGATACGTGGTACATGCTTTGCAGGGCCACGGCAGCATAAAGAAAACTGTGCATGCAAAGAGTGGTATCTTTGAAGTGGTTGGCGCCGGCAGAATTGCTGCGAGATCTCTATTTCAACACGCCTCCCAAAAAAATTAAATCTGCAAAAAGGGGTGGAAAACGCGTAATGATGTGGTGTTGAAGTGCTTTAGAGAACTTGAGAATCTCGTATGTTCTAGTTGATCTAGTCATGCTTATACGGGGCGAGCACAGGTGTCGGTGGCACAAAATTTCTTGTTTTGTAGACATTCTTACCAACCTCCCAGCCAGGTACGTCTTTCATGACGTCAGCTTCCCATTCGTGATACTCCTTCCTCTGAAAATGGAGAGAAATAGAGCGGATATAAATGGTTAGCGTCGCATATCTCTTCAAGATGATATCGCATTCCTAAAAGCGGGTAGAACTTCGAGGTCCACAAAGTTGCATTGAGTTTCTAACGTACCTGAGCAACAAACCGCACGTCTTCCTCAGCCTGTAGCAGCGGAGTAATCGCGAATCGAACTTCTTTCTTTTCTTGTCTCAACATCCTGGAATTGCACAAAGGATTGCCAATCGCAAAACGCATCGGATAGCGGTTAGCACACTGGAACAAGGCAATGAATCCACATCCCGAGGGATTGATGGTTTAAGCGATCTGAAATCTTTTCGAAACGGACCTCCGCTTAACATTAAAAGTTCCGACCTTGTAGAATCCGTACGACATCATAGCAGCAGTTCCTACCAACAACAAGCCGGCGCTACCACCAATGGATTTCGGGACGTTGCGAGCTACGTTAATAGGCGCGTATCCGCCCTTCGGAGCAACTTCCTGCCGGACGGTTTTCGGTGGAGGCTGGGGAGGTCCCGTCAAGCCGGTAGTCGCCGACATGTTGAAGACTCGTATGGCAGAACACGGATTCGAGGTTCAAACAGGATGGGATTGCAGGATGGGGATTCTCGAAGGAAGGGAGAGTGGCGGGTGGGTGTGGTGCAGTATTGGAAAAAGGCCAGCAGGGACACGGCCTTTGCCTCGCAATTAGAATACCGCATCTAACCACTTGTCAAAAAAATATAACGAAATAAAACACACCTTTTCAAGTTTCATAGAAATATTTTCAAAAGGATCGAATAATGAAACTGTAAGTTGTTAAAGCACTGACAGTACTGGCCCTATACAGGACCGCCCGTACAGAGCGCTGGTAATGGGGTAATGAATACTGTAGTGAAGGCGGCGGCGTAGCTTAGAACTTCTTTCTTTGTTCCTCCCATCGGAAGGGCTCACTTCTTGCACTCGCGCAGGGCGTCGTTCTAAAAGTCCGCTTGTTTGCACGTATTGGAGTGCGGCATCAGAGTTTCACCTGCCGCAAACTTACAGTCGCGTGGAAAGCGAAAGAAAAAATGACTTCGGCACAGCCGGGAATAACGGATGAAGACCACCAATGGATAAGGGGTGTTCTGAGCCTAATCCCAAAAGCTGTATACGGTGGGGACAAGCCTACTGCGCTATCCGTGGGAATTGACGGCAAGGATTCAGTGAAGAAGCAAAAGGCCTCCAAGAAGCCCAAGCCATCACGGAACAAGCGGAAATCTGCGACGTCTGTTGTACGAGACCAGGACGAGCCCGCGGACCGCGCAGCTATTCGTAAGAAGCTTCAAGAAAAGATTAATGAGAAACGCTCGGATCGGAAAGCTGACGATGAGACCCAAATAGAAATTAGAGCGCATCGAAAGAGGAAGAGAGAAGAAAAAAAGGAAGAGAAAGCAAAGGAAGTTAAGAAAACTCGTCGCGAGAAAAAGTTCGAAAACATCAAAAAAGAGAAAGGGGCTACCGCCATTCCCGGGCATAAGCAACCAAAGCAATCGGAATCGCAAGATGAAAGCGAAACGGGGGGTCGCACAGAGGCAAATGACTCAGTTACACTGGAGACAACACGATTAGCGGGATTTTCAGCAGAGCAAAAGAGGAACCAAGTGAAACGAAGAAAGCTAACAGGAGGAAAGCTGCGCGAACTACAGCTACAGCTGGAAAAGGCCACAAGGGAGAGTAATTTGAAGGATGGTACGAATACAAGCTCGGTCAAAAGCATTTCTGGCTCGCAGAAGACGATGGTTCGACCTGCCAAAGAATCGAGCACCGATGCCGTTGTAGATCTCGAAATGGATAAAGCGCTTCAAAGAGTAACCGGAGTCGCAGTCAAGGACGACGTCAAGAAACTCAAAAAATCAATAAGGAAAGAACGACGGAAGACGGAGAAGAGTAAAGAGGAGTGGGCGAAGCGTGTGGAAGCATTGGAGAAGGAAAAAATTGCAAAACAAGAAAGGAGAACAAAACATCTGAAAGAGAGGAAGGAGAACAAAGGAAAGGGGAAATCTTCTAAGAAGAAGAGTTCCAAAAAGCGAAAGTAATCATTTTGTAAAGTAGAAAATTTGTCTTATGCTGGGAAATCTACAGACTTCTTTCTGCAACAATAACATGTGTACAGCAAGGGAAACGCATTGAAATTTTTGTCCACTTCTGATTCTTTTGCTCTAAAACGATACTAAAATGGCAATGGTATTCCCCCTTACATGCCATACGAAGTTTCCTCACCTCCGTCAAGCAAAGGTGGCAATGCTCCAGCTTGTCCGACACATAAGGACGCGCACTTTGAACCCCACTGAAGCATTTCTGTTAATGTGTCTTTGCATTTTGGCAGGCGCACTCTATGATCTGAAACAGCTTGAGCGAGCATTCCTCCAAGAAAGGCATCCCCGGCCCCCGTCGTGTCCCTGACATGGTCTGCCCTGTGTGCGGGAACTGTCACTTGCACTCCGTCTGGTAGCACACCCACTGCCCCGTGACATCCATCTGTGACAACGACGAGCTCGGCGTCTGATTCTTTTGCGATTGCAGAGGCTATCTCGCAAGAGTCACTGGAACATGGATTCAGATGCATGAAATCGGTCAATTGCTCTGCCACAGCCTTTGGCATCTTCAATACGTGAGCCAAACCAAGGACTTCTTTGAACTGCTCTGGTGTGCCGAGCCTGGAATCTTGACAAGCGATATCGGGGGGTACATCGACATCAAGCACCGCAATAGCCCCATGTTCACGACCCTTGCTGAAGACAGCTGCGGCCCCGCAGAGTGGAATTTGACTAATTTCAGATGTGACAATTGCTGCCTTGGCCAAGGGTCCATCCATACCACCCCACAAGCTCTTGACCTCTTCACCCGTAAGAGTTGCAATGCTTCCACTGAACATGAATATAGTACGCGTGCCGTCGTCCTCCACATAAACGGTGCTCTCCGCGGTTTTGCAACCCAACTCTCTACTGACATACTTGGCGTCAATATGATGCTTTCTCAAGTAAGAAGTAATTATGTCCGCATTCGAGTCAAAGCCGTGTTTAGCTAATAGAGCACAGGAAGCTCCGAGATGCGAGGCCCAACAAAGATGATTGAGGGTCACCCCACCAGCCGTTGAAATAGGGGCTGGGTGCGAAGCAAGGAATACCTTCTCACCGGGGGTGGGAAACCTTCGGGATAGTTAGAAAGAATTACATTTTCAATAAGTGTGAGAATGCGAGAATACTCACCGAGATATGAAGCGAAAATTGTCTACGACTGTGCTCCCACAGCCCACAATGAGAGGGGGTAAACAAGAAGATGCTGGCATTGCACGAGCGATAAGCGTCTAGGAAATCAAAACTTGGAAGAAGGAGGTTCAAAGATTGCAACAGGATGCCATGGTTCATAGTTTGAGGTGCACACCCTTCGTGCACATGAGGTGCCCTGAGTATTGAGATTGGCAAAGATCCAATCTGCAATGAAGAAGCAGTTTTGCATGTTCGGTAAACTTTTCTCTCTCTCCACCGAGATTGGCCAGAATCGATCATACAAAATTCCACGCAACAACCAATTGAAGCATTTCTCGTGCCGTAGCGAATCAACAGCCTTGCGCGTGTACAGTATGCCACGACGCGCGGCTCCGTCCTTGATCCCCTTCGGCGCTGCCACTCTACCTTTTTTCGTCGCACCATCCTGCTGCTGCTGACTCCACTCTGCCGCACCGCAGCTCAGGCTGACCATTTTCAAACGTCCCAGTTTGCGACAGCCACTCCGATCTCTTTTCAAGCTCTTGCGGACAAACATATTTTTGCAACTACGGGCTTGCCACCTGGCTGTATTTGAAAATGGGATCCAAGCGTCCGCGTGAGGTAGACACAGCTCCGGCAGTCGAGGACCTTACTTTGGATGGGCCACCAGAGAAGAAACCGAGGGAACTAGAGAGGCACCTGCGTGAATCTTCCCAGCGAAGTATGCCTCACTCATTCGGAATTCGCGTATCATCAGCGGCAAGCGGCAATGCTCCAGGAGCAGAAGGAGCAGCTACGAAATTGGGAGAATCTCCCATAATGCTTAAGACTTATTGCCAGCATGATGTTTCTCTGCCAGCAGGCTATCCAGAACCATACGATTTTGATAAGATGGCTCAACCGGCTGACCATAAGCCCGCGAAGGAATATGCATTCACGCTCGACGCTTTTCAGAGAGAGAGCGTCAAATGCATTGAGCGAAATGAAAGCGTACTTGTAGCGGCCCATACCAGTGCTGGAAAGACTGTTGTCGCAGAATATGCAATCGCCACGGCATTACGCGAGAAGCAACGTGTTATTTACACATCCCCGATCAAGGCGTTGAGTAACCAAAAGTTTCGAGAACTTGAGCATGAGTTCAGCGATGTTGGCCTCATGACAGGAGATGTAACTATCAACAAAAACGCTTCATGTCTCGTCATGACTACTGAAATTTTGCGCAGTATGCTCTACCGGGGCTCGGAAGTTGTGCGCGAGGTGTCATGGGTTATTTTTGATGAAGTTCATTACATGAGAGACCAGGAAAGAGGAGTTGTTTGGGAGGAAACAATCATTCTCGTCCCACAGAATGTCCGTTTTGTCTTTCTTAGCGCGACGATTCCGAATGCCAGGGAATTTTCTGAATGGATTGCGCATCTCAAGAATCAACCGTGCCATACGATCTACACCGACACGCGACCAGTGCCTCTGCAGCATTATCTCTTCCCGTCTGGCGGTGAGGCCTTACACCTAATAGTCGATGACAAAGGCAACTTCAAAATGGATGCATTTGAGAAAGCAATGACCGAGATGGGGTCGAACAAGAATGACAAGCTCGGTAGCGGCGGCGGTGGGGCTCTTGTGAAAAAAAAGAAGAATCGTCGAGACTCTGGCGTTCCTGGCAAATCGGATTGCTTCAAAGTTGTGAAGATGATCATGGATCGCGACTATCATCCAGTGATAGTTTTCTCGTTTTCACGACGAGACTGTGAAGCAATGGCCATGCAAATGGCTCAGCTTGAATGCAACAACGAAGAAGAACAGGAGCTTGTTAGCAAGGTCTTCGAGAATGCTGTTTCATCTCTAAATGTCGAGGATCAAAGCCTCCCTCAGATTACGGCGATTCTTCCACTGCTGAAGAAGGGAGTTGGCATACATCATTCTGGACTGCTGCCAATCATTAAAGAGGTGGTAGAAATCTTGTTCCAAGAGGGCCTGTTAAAATGCTTGTTTGCAACTGAGACGTTTTCAATGGGGCTCAACATGCCCGCTCGTACTGTGGTGTTCTCTCAGTATCGAAAGTTCGATGGGTCACAATTTAGGCCAATCCTTGGAGGAGAGTACGTGCAAATGAGTGGGCGTGCTGGTCGAAGAGGAATAGATGCCAAAGGGATTGCGATTCTTATGTGTGACGAGAAGATTGAGCCAACAATGGCCAAGAATATCATGAGCGGATCTGCGGAACCATTGAAATCTACTTTTCGGCTTGGTTACAACATGCTTCTCAATCTCTTGCGAGCAGAAGAAGCCGATCCGGAGTACGTCATAGCAAGATCATTAGCTCAATTTCAGGCGGACAGAGCGCTCCCAGCGAATGAGAAGAAGCTTCAAGAGCTTGAGATGGAAAAGGCTAGCATGGTCGTTGGTGGACAGGGATTTGGGGTCGAAGAACACGAAGTCAAAACCTATTTTAAGCTGCGGGAGGTTGTGGAGAAGTTGCGAAAAGAGATTCGAGACCTCATCCACAAACCATCGCATATCGTACCGTTCCTGCAACCTGGGCGACTGACACGGGTGCGTGACGAGAAATTAGACATTGACTACGGATGGGGTGCTATCATTCAATTCACTCGCAAAGGGTCAGCATCCCGGAAAAAGCCAGAAGACGAACGATATAGTATTGACGTCCTGTTGCGGTGTGAAGCCGGATCTAACAAAGGAAAGCGACCTCGTCCGTATAAGTTGCCTGCCAAGAGTAAGAGCGAAAATGGGAGCATATCTAAAGACAAACGGAAGGCCAATGCTCCACCAAAAGAGGAATGGATTGTTGTGAACTCCACGTTTAGAGATCTGGACGGTCTATCTGCATTACGGGTATACAAACCCGCAGATCTACGATCAGAAGCAAGTAGGGCAGCGGTGGGGGCGTCAGTTGTTGAGGTTTTGCGACGCTTCCCGGACGGACCACCAATGCTAGACCCTTTCGGTGATCTAGGTATTTCGGACGAAGGCCTTCCAGTTTTGCTGCGAAAGGCTGAAGCTGTGGAAGAAGCGCTGATTGCTTCACCAGTAGCCAAGTGTCCTCGTCTTGAAGTAGTCATGTCTCAGTGGCGCAAGAAGCAAGGTATCAATGACAAGGTGAAGGCCGTGAAAAGAGAGCTTGAAATCGCAAGAGGCATCATACTGAAAGAAGAATTGAAGCGCATGAAAAGAGTATTACGCAGGCTCAATTTTACGGACAACGACAGTATCGTTCAAGTCAAGGGCCGTGTTGCCTGTGAGGTCAATTCTGCAGACGAACTTGTGATCACGGAACTGCTGCTGGGAGGTAACCTTAATCATATGGCTCCCGAAGTTCTCGTTTCTCTGTGCTCCTGCTTCATCCTTGATGAAGGAAAAAAGGATGAAAATTTGAAGCTCGAAAAGGACCTTGAAACTGCGTACCAAACGGTAAAAACTGTTGCCACGAGAGTGGCAACTGTGACAAAAGAAAGCAACATTTTAATCGATATTGAGACTTACGTCGAGTCATTCAGCCCCAATGCGATGAATGTGGTTTACTTCTGGTGCAAAGGACAGAGCTTCTCCGAGGTTTGCAAGTTATCTGACTTGTTTGAGGGAAGCGTGGTTCGTTGCTTCCGAAGACTAGAGGAACTGCTTCGCCAACTGGTTGCAGCAGTGAAAGGAATTGGTAATACAGAGCTCGAGCAAAAGTTCGAGGCTGGTTCTGCTGCTTTGAAGCGAGGAATTGCATTCCATGCATCTCTGTATACTTGAAAGGAGAGTATCAGTGCAGGGCGAATCGTCCTGCTTTGTAGTAGGCCGAAGTGTTGGCAGTCTTGGTTTTTTCGATTATATGTCTTTATCAGAACTATAGCAGACTGGATTCTATTGGTTTATGAAGCATGGATGTGAATAGCAAGGGGGGGGGAGTGGGGTAATAACTTGTTCTTTTAGAGCCCGATACGAATCCGCCGGGTTAAAGAATAGACCACTATGGCAGATTGCACCTGAACCGTCTGAGATAAATATCCATCGGCCCTCCACAAAGAAACCCAAGTAAAAATAGAGCAAAGCGATGTCTGCCGAAGAAGACCTTGACCAGCGACACTGCGTACAACATTCAGTTTATGCCCATGTAGCTAGTCGCGAATGAGCTACGGTACCCAATTCTTGCTGTACCCAGGGGCACCCTTGGGTACAGCAAGCATTTTTGGGTCAAAGATGTGCAGGACATCGCCCTGCCTGGTGAGAACCCTAAATTTTCTGAACTTTTTGATTGTGCTCCAGAATTGAGAAAACTGAAGTAAGCCTGTTTTTGCCCTACTGCCTTCAGTCCTTCCTGCCTTCTTCGCTCATAGTGCGGTTTTTTTGAGCCCCTGAGTACCTACGTTTACCTTACCTCACCACTCCGCAGAATCAACTCAGCACTCTCATTCATCACCGTAAGAGATCGCGGCGAGTAGGATTCGCTCAGATTTCTGCCCTCGTGTAACCGAGCTTCCCTGTACTGAAGTTTTTTCACGCTCGCCGGCAAATACGAGATGTCGAACCCATACGATCAGATCCTGCGATCGTCTGTACCGCAAAAGCCGCAACGCGCGCCAGTTAGAGACTCCCAGCCTTCTTCCTCCGTACTATCAAGAGCAAAGAGAATTCGACCAGTCCCTAAACCTCCTATTCGCTTCAATGTGCGCCCACGTTTCCGCTTTGATTTGCCGGACCCGCCTATGGACCCAAAAATGTTATTAGGTCGCCTCTCCACTGCTTCGTATTCACGCCCCGTGTACTCTGATCTTGAAAAAGACTTTCGACCTCCCGCCATACCCGCAGATCCAAAGTACGGGCTACGCCCAAACCTTGTGGAAAACGCTCTTTACAGAAAATCAAATGAGCTCTCCATGGACGATAATGCCCTTTTGTTTTCTGTCATGGCTGGAAGACCCGGTTACACTAGTTCGAGGACAGGCCCCGACTCAATAAGGCGAGGATCACAAAAGATCGGTGTACGTCCACCACAGCAGAAGCCCACCACCACAAACCCATTCCTGCGAGCTATGAGCTACGATGAGTACCAAGGGTCGTCGAGCGTCACACGTCATATGCTTTCTGCGAAAGATGACGAAGACAAGGCGGCAAAACTAGCGAATGATATGAAGCATGATCCCAAACTTCGCGAACGTCGCAGACGTGCTATGCTGCATTCGTTTGAAGCGGCTCGACAGCGACCGAGGCACCCCGACCGAAGAAAGGCACACCTCAAACCTGTTCATGTTGCACCTGTTTTGCCAGATTTTGATACTCTAGGCCAAGCGTTTGTGGCGATTGAGTTCGATAAAGATGACAACCTCACACATCTGGAACGTCAGCGGGAAGAAAGTGAAGCAACGGACGAGTCTGAGCGCACCTTCACGGTCATCCCTGTGGGAAAGTCAGATCTCAATGATCGGCAGATAATCGCATGCTACACTCCAAGTGGACACACTATCGCGAGACGAAAGCACCTGCGAGAAGAAGATGGTCCAAACGCAGACCGCGATCCGAAGAAGATTCGCTATGATGATGAAGAGACATATGATTGGATTGCGGAATACGCAGTTCGAGAGACAAAAATTGGGAATGGGTATAAAAGCAGGAATACACTCGCCAGGTCTTGTTTTGCGGCAGTAGAGTACACGAAAGCGGACAACCCAAAAGTAGGAGTGGTGCTGTTTTCCAGGATTGACGCGACCTGGAAACTGTCCAAACGACCCGGAACGATAGAAAAGTTTGGAAAGCCAGGCCTAAAACTGAAGAGAGATAATCAGATGCAACCGGATGAAGATTTCCAACGCGATTTGATTGCTGGACGGACAGGTAACGAAAAAGAACCGAAAAGTGTGCGATAGGCCCGGAACGCACTCGGTCTGAATTTCACTGTGACACCTATCCCTCATACGCTCTATCGAACTTGATTGTTTGAGCGCCCACGATAATTGTTCATCGAATCATCAAGGAATCAGAGCGAATGATTTCGCTTGTACATATGCAATTATTCTCCAAAACGCTTGATGTCCACTACCCAAACAAACGAGCATGCAGGCAGATTCTTTGCGTTACAGAAACCTCATTGCTGAGCAATCATTGAAGGAGTGTTGCTTTTTCACTGCTGTACAAAGAGAACCAAGCCCTGCCCATGTGCCTTCCCGTTAGAAGCTTACCTTCCCAGCATCGATGATACGAAGCCGACAGGGACAAGCAAGATTTTCTGTTAAGAAACAAAATGGCAGAATTCAGTATGACGAGAGGACGATTTGATGAAGCTTTAAGTCCACAGAAAGCTACTCACCAAAATTGTGAGAGGTCTTAGTTGCGCACACGGTATACTACATGTTTTCCATTGCGATGAAGAAATGAATGGGTTTTTAGGAACACAATCGAGAGAAAAACAAGCTACAGAAGTAAGCAAAGGTTTTGGGTTCGGATGGCATGCCGAGCAGAACAAAATACAGTATTCTGGACGAAATATTCTGTGTCTATGGGGACCAGCTTGCCAATCCCTACTTTTAGAGAAGGAAGTACAGTATCAGTAAGAACTGACCACATAGCCAATAATATGAAGCAGGCAGCGAGAGAACACATGAACCGTAACGGTAAAAAGACTTCAGTTTTGGGACTGAAATAGAAAAATCGGATAAGAAACTTCCACTGCAAAAGGAGATACACGGTTTTAACATGAGGAAGAGGAGAGCAATAAGTGCAGTATCGTCATTCTGACCACAATTCTCGGTGTAGACAGGGTTCGCACTTACTTGTGACGGCAAAAATACTAACTCATTTACAAATACAAGGAGTAGCTGCGTGCTTTCGCTATGGACTGAGAACGTTTTGCAGTTTTCTCCGCCGTACTCTGTGATGCCCTTGTCATCATGATGCTGTTAGCAATTGGGTTTGAAGATATTCGTAGTTTATTGGTTCTAGTCGGTCACGAGACATCGGTTAAGAGGGGACACACAAAGGCTACGCAAACCATTAAACCGAACTGGAAAACATAAAGAAAACATAAAGAAAACATAAAAAAAACATAAAGAGAAAAAGACATGATGAGAAAGGAAACTACCAAGAGGGCGGCGCAGCCGGGGCTGGGCGGGCAAGAGAAATAGACATGGCCAGGAGAGGGGGGCTGGCAAGAGGCTCACGATGGCGCCATAAGTACCACGGAGCAGCGAGACTGCGAGGTGAGGTACGCTCGGTTGGCTGATAGTAATTACAGCCACTCGCTATTCTCCGGGGAGTTTCACCCCTATACACGCTAGCGTGTACAGAGACGCGAAGGGGGCAAATAAAAGCGGTAGCGGATGCACGGAGAGCGCTAGACATGCGGTAGCATGTGCGCAAAGAACCACTCCGAAGCGGCGGTGACAATAATACGGCTATTGAAGTAAACAAAAAACTGGTTCTGCGATGCCCGATCCAGACGGGTCATAATCCATTCGCGGCTGAACTGGAGGACGAGCAGCTCGTTGAAGCCACCGATACGAGCGCTGTGCGATGCAAAGTAGCAGCCAGGCGGCGGAGCGCCGTTGACGAGGGCAACGGCAGTCTCAACCGCAATGCCGAGATCGGCAGTGCCGACCTTTTCTCCACGTCTGAGATTGAAGAAACCAAGATTGGCGGGACGCAAGGAGCGCCATTTCGAAAGCAATGCGTTTGGCGAAGCAGTAGAGGTCCATACGGGGTTGGTTGGAAGTGAAAGGCGTAATGGTCGGGACAGAGATTTGCCTTTCCGGTGAGTGATCACGGCACTCACTCCCTCCGCCTTTATGGTGATGTCGCTGTCTTTCAGATAGGCGACCGACACTGACCGGCACTGAAAGACAAATGCAAACACCACTATAGCACAATAGCCCACCGTGTCGACGTCCTCGGCAGACAGCCCACATTCCACAATCTGCCTCATGAGGGCTGCCGGGAGCCCAACCCGGGCCATATGAACGACGCCTTGAAGATCATCCTTGTTTGCATATGCGCGGACAAGAGCCGATACCATGGGAGTATGAGTTGGGGAATCGAAGTTGAGGAGCTCGTGGTATCGAGATACGGCCGTAACGTACTGCGCCACTGACGTCGGACCGACCCTGCCTTTGAGATGCAAGTAGCCTATATATGCTAGAACATCCCCCTCCTTCGCCCCAAGCCGCGGTCGTCCATCTTCGTCGCAGAAGGTAAACCATTTCTTGATCTGGCTGGAGCGGTTGGCCCAAGTCCCGTCACTCCATCCGTAGTTGGAAAGCAAGTCTTCTGCGGTCTGGGCGCTTCCCGTTGCACCATCATCCCCACACCGGCTCAATACTGCATCCCGTATCCCCTCCTGCCACACCACCCTCACGCCATTGTTGCGAGAACGACGGACCAGTCGGTGTTGAGATTTTTCGAACTCCGCAGTAGAGAAAAGTCGGCGCCTTGTGGATGGAGTACCTTGGCCGTAGTGGCGTGACGCACCAACTGCGGATGCCAGGCTTGCGCTGGCCAGTGGGGAGCCACCAAGACGCCCTTCCCACCATCCGCTAAAACCTTGCCAATGACCAGATCGAGCATGTCGAAGGGACGATTCCACAGGCGCGCCCTCCCGTCTCCCCAGTCCTCCAGCATCTGCGTCGCCAGGTATTTCCGTCGCGCGACTGCCGTTTCTCCCAGGGGGCGATGAGCGAACACCACCGAGTCCACCTGGTACTCGTCCTGGATCGACTGCAGCAGCTGGTCCGTCGCCTGCACGTCGCCAGAATCCCAGGTCCGGGAGAGAGCGTCGGCGAACCGGTTGACCGCGGACGGCAACCACCGGGCTTCGATCCGCACCCCCACGGTTTGCAGCATAACTTGAAGCCGGCGTAGCTCCGCCATCATTGGCTTGGAAGCGGACACCATGGCGTTCAAAATGAAGCAGACTGCCTGGTTGTCCTCGTGCAGCAAGAGGCGCTGAACGTCCGGTCGGCCGACGTACGCGGCAAAGTGCCTCTGTAATAGCAGACGAACCGCCCGAAGTTCCCTCAAAGTGATCGAGTGCGCGCGATCGGCTGCCGTCCAAAAGCCTTGACCCTCCCACAAACCCCGCGAGCCCGCCAGCACTTGCGATCCCAGTGTCCCTCCGTACCCCACGTCGGCAGCATCGGAGTGCAACGTGAGGTCGGGCGCCAGCCTGACCAATTCCCGTCCTTCTCCCCGTGTCAGCGGACGCCAGTGGCGCAAGTCGCGAAGCGATTGTCGGCAAAGACGCACCTTTTGACGCTGGTCGTGGAACCTTGTTGCGTCCCCATGTCCACGGCGACCACGGGGCACACGGAGCACACGGTGCACACGGGCCACACGGTGCACACGGGCCACACGGTGCATATGCGCCGTGGCAGTCTGCCTGCCAGCGTCTGGGCCTCGCAAGCTCGGCCCGCGACGCAGCCGGCCGACTTTGCCCTCGCTCCTCGCGCTCCACCAGGAGCCCGGACAGTGCCATGTCGAAGTAGAGGCTCCTTGTGTAGAACCGCGAAAGCGGAATGGCCAGTGTCATCGACACAGCCACTCCGCAAAAATGCCGCAGCTTCTTCAACGATACCCACCGGCAGTTCCTTTGCGCGGACAAGAGGAGCTGCTTGGCTAGCAGGCGAAGGCGGGCTACCTTGCTGTCGGATGCGAACACCCTCATCGCGACAGTATCCACCACACAACCCAAATGCTCCAGCGTAGTCGTCCCTTCCCAGCATCCCTTCCCCGGGTGTCTGACGAGCCCCAACCTTGCGAACAGCCTTGACAGTCTCCTCCCGGCGCGCGCGCAGTCCTGTCTTGTCGATATCCTCCCCAGCGGCGACGGCCCACACGCGAAGTCGTCAATGTACAGCAGGATGCGGTACCCGACGCGCTCCCGCAAGTGCTTCACCAAAGGACGGAGCAGCTTGGTGAACCACAGAACAGAGCGCCCCCAGCCGAACGGTAGCGCGTAGTACCGACCGTTGTATCGGAAGAGGAAAAAGTCTCTCATGCGTGGATGGAGATAAAAGTGGCGGTACCCCCTTTTGATGTCCCAGGACATCAGCACATCTCCCTCCTGCAGTTGACACGCGAAGGACTGTAAGGTCTCCATCTTGACTGACCCCTTCGGCCAGTGCTTGCTCTGCCGCTTGAAATTAATTACAAATCTTCCTTTGCGGTCCTCGCCCTCGCCTTGCCAGACCGTGAAGGCTGACGAGATCATCCTGCCCCCTCTTGCAAGGGCCTCGGCCTCCTCAAACCCTACCTCCTCGTACACCCCCTCCCTGCAACCCCTTGCCAGGTTCTCCGTGGCAAACTGCCTGTCCTCCGCCGTCTGAGGGAGCTCGCTGAGTACAGTACCGTCCTCGAAGGGCACCGTCGGCATGTCCAATACACCGTACCGGATCTGACGGGCGATGTACTCGTTGACTCCTAACTCCGAACGCCAAACGTCCGCCCTAAGAGCCGTCCCCCGCCACAAAGGTGCTCCCTCCTTACCCTTTGTAGCGTTTCCATCTCTTTTTAGGCACATTACTCCGGGCTGGACTCGTCCCCGGCGGAGGGTCCAACGTTCTTCATGCCAGTAGTTTTCTCTAACCTGGTTTTGGCAATCATCTTTGCAGCCTGAATCTCCAACTTAGAAGTGAGGGCCTCGCGGGCAGACTTGTACGAATCTGAGAACACAGCGTCGTGCCCCTGTTCCACGAGGAATGCCATCTGGCGAGCTGCCTCGACTCCTTGGTCGGTGACGTCCCTGAAATACTGCGCGTGCATAGACAGTACCTCGAGGGCGGCACGGATAGACTTTTCAGCCAAGGCCAGTTTCCTTGCCATGCTTGGAACGTCCTCGCTCTGATTCTTAGCAATTCTGAGAGCGGAGAGTCCCATTTCGGTCCAAACGCCAGCAGCGTTTACGTATTCCCATTCCTTGGCCGAGCGTCGGTCCCTGTACCGCAACTCGGAGACGAAAGCGTCCGCAGCAGGCTTGAAGTAACCCATGTGAGTGACGGGTACATGGGGGCCACGCTCAAACACACTTCCTTCTCCAACCAACTTGAGGGAGCTGAGCTCCGCGACAACATCCCCATAATCCCGACGCGCGGGCACGGCACTCTCCCACGCCGCTCGCACATCTAGCGCAGGGCGCGCCACAGCTGCGACAGCCGGAAGCGTGGGGGCCGGGGGCACCGGCGCGCCGATGTCGGCGGGTTGTTCGGGTTGTACGCTCATAGCTCCAAAGTACTCTGTTTGTACTTACTAGAATATGTCACCGCCTAGGCTGAGGGGAATTTCTCAAGCAAGAGAAATAGACATGGCCAGAAGAGGGGGGCTGGCAAGAGGCTCACGATGGCGCCATAAGTACCACGGAGCAGGGAGACTGCGAGGTGAGGTACGCTCGGTTGGCTGATAGTAATTACAGCCACTCGCTATTCTCCGGGGAGTTTCACCCCTATACACGCTAGCGTGTACAGAGACGCGAACTAAACTTAGTTTATTACGTGGCACGAGCTCTGGCAAGGGGCATGGAGAGCGCATCAGATACACTGACCAGCACCCCCTTTATTTCTGGGGCTTGAGCCAAGACCGAAACAGGTTTGCTCTTAACCATGCGGCATCCCCCTCTAGTGTCTAGGTGACAAAAGACCTCATCCTGTATGAGGCCAGCTT